ATCTCTTGAGAAACTGGAATGAGGGACAGACATGTGATTTTATTTTGATTTGAGTACAGAAAAGTTGCTTTTGTTGTTTTGTTTTGATTCCATGATGATAGTAATTTTTGAGACAGTCCAAAGATTATATGTCTGTGCTCAACTGTGGACATGTTTCACTTGGTGGCACATGGATAGGACCAAGGAGCATGCTGAATGTCAGATTTCTTAAAACAAAGAACCTTCAAACACCACACTTTTCTTCCAAAAACTCGTCCAACACTTTTCATTGTGACAGAACCACAAACACAGAGGGATGAACAGCTTCCAGGGGCCAGTGATCTAGGTAACAGGTAACTGAGCAGGGAGCCTTTTGACCAGGCTCTTTTCTTTAAAAAGGAAAGAAACTCCACATTTGAAACTGTAGCATGTTTCATCATCTCTAAGACCTGAACCAGTGTTTCTTGCCAAACTTCTTTTCTTTCCATGTGGCAGACACTAAGGAACACATGGTAGTGCCTTTCCTAGTAATAAACTTTAACGTGTTTCTAAATTATCAAATCTCTCCTCATTTAGCATGATTACTCCAGGCTAAATTGCTCTTGTCTTTTCTTTTTTTTCTTTTACATTTTTTTTGGCGGGACTGAGGTTTGAACTCACGGCCTCATGCTTGCTAGGCAGGCACTCTTACCACTTGAGCCACTCCACCAGTCTCCTTGTCTTTTCTTTTAGGATATCTCTTCCCTCAGCTCACTGACATCTTCATGTCTTTATCATTTTAAACAGATGACACGTGGTATTTACTGCAAAAGGGTACAGTGAGAAGTAACTCCCTCACCTAATCCGATTCCCACCACACTCCAGTTTTGTGTTCCAGGTAGGTGTTACAGGTTTTCACATTCTTTTTAAAATGAGGAAGACCAAAGTGAGATCTGATTTTTCACTGAGCATGCAGTTAATGCTGAATGTAGCAGGGGGGTTCTCTTCCTGGCTTTGACATATCCCTCTTCTCTGAGACATTTCACTGTCCTCCCCACCACCATTATGATGATGGTAGGTGCTGTGCACTCATCTCTGATGCTGTATGAGTTGGAGATTTTCTTACCTTGGAAGCACAGAATGAAAGTGCTAAGAAGGAGCCCTAAAGGCAATCCAACCAATCCACGCCTTTATAAAGAAGAGGGAGTTCCTAAGAGTAAGATCACATGGAGTTAGAAGTGGAGGGAAATTTACTGATCCACTGCCCTTTTCACTACGACATGTTATTATTCTTCAAAGCACTTGGACCGGCCACACATCCCTGTCCTGTTTCTCTATGCATAGCCTCATTTATCGCTCGTAAGTCCTATTCTGTTGCTTAAAGGTCATTTAAATAAATTTGAATAATATTTTTACACTTATTACTCATCAGAAAATTATTCCTGATAGTAATGAATTCCAAAGAAACATTAACCAATCTTTACCTTGCTCTTCTTTCTTTTTTAATCTGGTCGATTTCAAGGTGTTTAAGTAAGATATATCATTGGAACAATCCTGAAGGGGATACTGATATTTGTGGGATGCTGGGTCTTTATAGAGCTGATTTAAAGTATGTTGATTTTAATTTAGTGTGTTGGGATAGATTTGTCATGGGGCTGCCCCAGGGATCCTATCCCACCATAGTTTACTGCAGAGCCTGGGCTGGTGGAAGAGGTACCTGTTACCATTAACAAGTGCGGTAGCAATGACAAGAATAAGGACTGAACATCTCTTGTTGGTAAGTGCTTCCTGCACATTTCTTAGTTAATCCTCCCCAAAACACAAAGAATTCTCTTACTTCACTTAACCAACTTGCTGGATTCACAAGCTCTCTCCATTCTCTTTAGACTATTTGCAAATGGAATGACTCACCAGCTCCTCCAGGACTGTAACTTACTTGTGCCCTTTTGCTAGCATTAAGTGAATTATAGGTGCACAGGGATCTACTGAATTCACTTCCAAACCTGTATAGGACGGTTGTACTCAATGTAAACATACAATTTTGAAAGTGCTACAGAAATGATAATATAAGATATAAAAAGTTAATTGCATGAAAACTTAAATACTTTAGAAATATTGGTTTTATTAAAAATTTCTCATTGAATTTAGAATAAGAAACAATAAGCTAAAAGAACAGAATCTGAAAAGATCCTGTGCTCAGTTTTTTTCTGCAAATGTCTTCAAATTCCTGCTCCATTTTAAGATGTCAGAGACAATAATGCATTAAGAATGTGATTTCTTCACAGAAAAGGCAAAGAACAACCTGTCAGGAGTCCACTTCTCAAAGAAAGTGCCATTTATTACACACAAAAAAGACTATGAAATCAGACATGGTGACACACACCTATAACGGCATCACTTGGGAGGCAGAGGCAGGAGGAACAGAAGTTTGAGGTCAAGCTGGGCACAGTGGCTCACCCCTATAATCCTAGCTATTCTGGAGGCAGATATCAGGAGGATTGTAATTTGAGGCCAGTCCAGGCAAAACGTTAGCTAGACCCCCATCTCAACCAATAAGCTGTGCGTGGTGGTACAATTTGTGATACAGGAAACATAAATGGGAGGAGAGAGGTTCAGCCCAACCTGGGCATAAATGTGAGACCCTATTTGAAAAATAACTAAAGCAAAAAAGGGTTGGGGGTTTGCCAGCGTAGCAAGTGCAAGGTCCTGAGTTCAAACACCCAGTACTGCCAAAGTCAAAAAAGTTCAAGGCCAATCTGAGCTATATAGTAAGACCCTGTTCTAAAAAAAAGCCCCAAGGGTTGGAGATGTAGCTTAGGGGCAGAGTGCTTGCTTAGCATGCCCAAAGCCCTGGGTCCAATTCCCAGCACTGCAGAAAGACTTTGAATGGATGTATATATTTAACATTTAAGTTAAAATAAGGTATTTAAGGTCTATTCCATATGAGCCTACGCTTTAAATACCTATGGCAATGAACACACCAATTACCCGTTCTGACCAAGTCAACTAAGAGATCCTCTGGGAAATTGCTTCCAGTTTTCTACACAACAAAGGACGTTTGGAGACCAAGGAACTTGTCCATGACTACGTACCTAGCAATTGATGGAGTGGACATTCAAACCATGACTCCAAAGCCATGTTATTCATTATTTATTTATTTTTGGTGGTACTGGGGTTTGAACTCAATGTCTCATACTTGCTAGGTGAGTCCTCTATCACCTGAGCTATGCTCCAGTTCTTTTGCTTTTAGTTTGCTTTTCAGACATCTCATGCTTTTGCCTGAGCCACCCTATCTCTACCTATGGCACACCTAGGATCCACAATGATCTTCTTATTTCCACCTCTTGAGTAGCTTGGATCACAGGTGTGAATTACCACACCTGGCCTGTTTTTGAGATAGGGTCTCACTAAATTTTATCTGGATTGGCCTAGAACTGTGATTCTCCTGTCTTTGTCTTTGTGTTCCCAATAGTTGGGATTTATAGGCCTGAGTCACCGTGCCCGGCCTACCCCTCTTTGCTTTGAAAGGTTGCCTGCCTCAGGTAGTTTGTTTGATAATGAAAATATGATTACAGAATATTAAAGTATAAAATAATCCATCATAAAGCTTTTAGCTCCATATGGGTTTTGCTATGTTTTTCTGAAAGGATACATCTCAGCAAGGTTGGTTGTAAAACAAAACTCTCAAGTAAATCCCCATGGTTTCATTTACTCCACTCTAACTCTAGCCATGGAATTTGTTAATGGAAATGGCCCAAACTTTTGACAAGGAATGATCCTGGAGTATGTTCAGAGTTTTAGCCTTTTTCCAACCCACAAAAACCCATTATAGCATTTTCCAGATTTTGGAGTCCTGTGACGATTCTTGCTTACTGATTCATTCCTTTCTTTCTCCCTTCCTTCCTTCATTCCTTCCTTTGTTCATTCGTTCCTTCCTTCTTTTGTTCCCTGCTTCCTTCCTTCCTTCTCCCTTCCTCCCTTCCTTCCTTCGTCCCCCCCTTCCTTCCTTCTTTCCTTCCCCCTCCCTCCCTTCCTCCTTTCCTTCCTTCCCCCTTTCTTCCCTCCCTCCCTCCTTTCTTTTGAGACAAGGTCTCACTACATTGCCCAGGTTGGCCTTGAACTCACCATCCTCTTGCCTCCACCTCCCAATTGTTGGGATTATAGGTGTGTGTCACATGCCCAGCTTTGTCTCTCCACTTTATACCCTTCTCTTAATGGTCATATATTTCAGGTTTCCTGATACTACATTATGCCTAATAGAATGCTAAAGGATGGATGGGGGGAAAAAAAGAATGGTATGAATGATTTTTAGTGCTTAAGAGGTAAAAATGTAGCTCCAATTGACAGTAATTGCTGCCACTAAGATTTACTCTTTCCCTGGTATCTGAAACCATGAAATTCAGGGATTTAATCTGTTTGATATAAAAGATGGCAAAGCTATACAAGCCACATTCATGACACATCTTCCTTCAGTGTAACCTGAGTTTGCCCCTGGAAATCTGAAAACTGAGAAGAGAAAAAATAAGCAAATGCAAATTTAAAAGTTTTCCATTTGTTTGTGGAGCAGCTGGTGTTAGGCTCTGACTCTCACTCTTGTGAAATAGTAGAAATCATAAGACTGTGTGGCTCAAAATGAATCTTAAAGATTTCCCTTGTTCATCCTTCCCCTTCCTCCTCCTCACTACCAGGCTAGTCCAGCTTAAGTCATTTATTCCAGCCAAAACCCATCCTATTTTTAAAGTATGGTAGATAGCGATAAGGCAATCCATCTAGTGTTTAATAACCCTCGCTGTTATATAAGTCTAAAAAAATCCTCCCAGATAGGGAATGGATGGCACAGCCAAGGTCTGTGGCACCCATGGAGGTCTTTGCTTCTCCCCAGCAGTGGGAGCTCACATGCACAATCAACTAGCAGACTTCTTGCTTACTACAGTGTTTTTCTGACTATTCTTCCCCAAGCCCTAGAAAATAAACAGTAGGCATTGTGAGAAACAGCAGTTTTATAAAACCTTTGAACTCTTGGAAAGAGGAGAAGGACTCACCCATAGCAACACTGGGCCTCTGAGATATCACTTAGCCATCATTACAACGCAGGATGTGTTAGGAAGGCCAATGGTATACTAAAAAAAGTTTCCCCAAAAGGGGAAGGAAGCTAATGCTAAAAATATATCATGCCAGCTGTTATAAATGCTTCTCAAAGGAAGCAAACCAACTACTACTTAGTTACCTCTTTGAAGAGCAAATGAGGGGTTAAGGATTAGGTTTGAGGGAGGAAGAAATTTTCTGTAGAGAGAGAAAATCTTTTGGTGAAAGACAAAATAATTACTTGAAGATTTACAAGGAACCCCAGACTACACAACTGGGCCTGAAGGCCTAGATGGGGATGGCCTGTGTCCAGAGCAACAGAACCTCCAGACCTTCTACCTCCTTTTCAGTCTTCAAAGGCCTCTTTTTTCTTACTAGACCTGCCCAGTGCTGCCAGTCTCTCCCCTTCTTTTGAATATTTGTTTTGATAGCTTCTTGTAGGTTGACTACAATGAGCTTGAAGTGGCTGGTGACCTTGTAAAAAAACATGAAAAGTGGAGGGACTTCATGAGCAAATGGGTATTCGTAAAAGAGGGGCCCTGGTTGTCTAAGGGGCTGATGGGAGGAATTTTTTTCCAGTTGCAAATCAGGGGCTCTTTCAAAGGAGCCACTTCCCTTGAGAGTCACTCTACCCTTCACCTTGTCTGTTGAAATAGTTTTGTTTCAAATGTTTGCTCCACAACCTAGTAGACATCCCTTCCATAAATGGAAGGACCTCTCAGTACCCAAGAAGGCCAGTAACAAAAACCATCACTACCCTCCACATCACACATAAAAAAGTTGGGTACTGGATACCACAAGTTATTTTTGTTTTTTTCATTTCGGAATAATTATAAATTTATAAGAAAGTACAAAAATGCTGCATAGAAAGTTCTTGTGTACCCATTACCCAGCTTCCCCCAAGGTGAAATCTTATGTAAGTACATTGCATTATCAAAACTAGGAAACTGACATGAACACAATACAACTAACTAGACTACAGACCTTACTCTGATCTTGGTAGTTTTTACATATACTAATTTTTTTGTATGAATTCATATATAACTGTATGGCATTTTATTACCCATATAAATTCATGTAACTACCTACCTCCCTAAACAAGATTACAGTATGTTTTTTTAAAGTCTGTTAGTATTGAGACCAATTTAGTAAGATAAGTCACAGAAAGAGCAAGAATAAAAATAAATGTCACTACAATGATTATGACAGAGGCTAAATGATCAATACTATCACTAAATATTTAGTGAGTTCCTGTGGACATTTTCTTGTTTATTTTGGAAATTCATTTTGTGAACATCTGCCTGGTGAACCCAGGAATTTATTAACTCTCTACCATTCAGCAAACATTTCTGGAAAGATGGGCAGACAGGCTTCAGCTCACATGCCATCACTTATTGAAATACAGTGGCTGCCTGGGGGAGGGGTTTATATTGAAGAGGATTCAGAGGCCACATCTGGGCTTAGCAAGAGACAGCCATTATCTAACAGAGATGCTCAGCCATGGGAGAGTGGCCGCTGAGTGCATGCCAGGAATTGCCATCTCCAAAATGTCTGTTACTTTTTCAGCCGCACAGTGTTTTGGGTGCTAGAAAAGAGGAATAAACACAACTCTTGTCAACAAGGAGTTGATAATCGGGAAGAAGAGGTGAACATGTTGACCAAAGACTGTGACCCTACATGCTAACAAGTGTTTTGACCAAGGCCTGTTGGTCAGAACAAAGCTAGCATGTAAACAGCCCCTATGCTTCTGGGAGTCATAGAGCAGCAGCAGTTCAGGCAGGATCTTACATCTGTATGTTATGGAGACCACTGAAGCAGTAGGGTGGCTGGTCCCTGGGGTGGGTGGGGGGCTAGGGGGCAAAATCAGGGTCAGAGAGAAACAAAAGTCTACTAACTACTCATTGAGTAGGTTAGCATTACAAGGAAAAGACATGTAATCTTGAATTAAGAGCTAGATTCTGGGGCTTAACTACCTGGATTCAAATCCTAGCTAAATCACTTACTCTGTGACACTGGTCAAATTACTTAACTTCTCTGTGCCTGTTTCCTTATCTGTCAAGTGAGTATAACAGTAATGTCCACACCATGGAGTTCTTAGGATTAAATGAGCTAACATTTATGTAAAGGATTTTTACATAGTACATAGTAAACACTGTATCAGGGAGTGCAATCATGACTTTACTTTTTTATGGTCTATGGTACCAAAATTTTTAAAATGCATTCTTTTTATCATAAGAAAATGAATTAAGATTAATAAAATAAACGCTACGGTTCTGAACTGTACCATAAACCTGTAGAAATGGGCAAATGCAATGGAGCTTTCAGAATTATTTTGGTACCCAACATTTCTGAGTTCTTGCCTCATGCTGGGCTAACAAAAGTCCACGTTTTAAAACCCAAATATAAAATAATGTCAAGAGCGCTAAAAAGAATCAAGTGCTGCAATGATTTGAGTACAAATAAGTTCATGCCATTTGTAGTTTTCTTTCAGGTCCAAATTTGCCAGCAAAGAGTAGAAAAGGGTCGGACAGGAAGTCTGGGGCAAGTGTGGTAGCACTGACCTCCATGCAAAGAGTTCTGTAAGCATTTAAGAAAGCCAGGAAATACTTACTCTTTTCCTGAATGATTTATTTTTTTCTATAGCTGACTTCAGACAGGAAGCAAATCTAGAGATGCTAAGCCAGGTTCTTTGCACCCTATATTTGAAATCTCTTGTGATGGCTAAAACAAAGTTGACTGAGATTTGTGTTAGCCAATACTTTGGTCCTTTCTGGACTCACAGGCTATGGTGAACTTGCAGATTCTTGCTCAGTCACTGGGTTGAGCGACCTTACAAGAAGAATGAGGCAGACTTCTCACCCAACCCCAAGCCAGTTTTCTCTCTCATGGAAGAAATGGCCCAGCTCAAAGGTCCTTGAGCTCTCACTTGATTTAACCTCTGCAACTGATTAAAGATACTCTTGCCTTTGGATAAAAACAGGTTGGTTCTCATTAAATTAGAACTTTATTTTTGGCCCCTATTTTTAGCCTCATTTGAATCCCTTCCTTCAAAACTCAGTGTGGTTCCACTGCTTAGTTTTAATTCCTTCTTAACATCCCTTTTTCTCTATCTCAATGTTACCACATCTTCTCAATGTCAACATACATCCTAAATCAAGCTTGGTGCTAGCTTGTCATCCCATTATGCCTCTAATCTCTTTGGAATCATTGACTCAACTTTCTTTACCCCTTAAATGCCTAGCATATGTGCCCTCAATTTCTCTCTACTGTCTCTCCTTAATAAATCCAATGTCAATTCTTGGTCTTTACCTTATTAAGCCTATCAGTAAGTCTGACTCAGTTCATCACTGTTTCTCTGAAACGTTTTCTTCATTTGCCTCGTAAGACACACCTTTTCTCTAACCTCAGTAGTTTCTCCTCAGTTTCCTTTGCTGCTTCCCCTTCTTTCCTGTGGCCTTCAGAGGTGTAAGTGTCTGGGCTCAGAGTTCTTGACCGTCACCTTTATCTATGCCTTGGTAATCTCATTTCATAGCATTAACTACCACCCATGGCTGATAAACTCCCAAAGTCTACGTTAGCTCAGTCTTCTCTCCCAAGCTACATACCTATGCATCTAATTTCCTACTGAACATTTTGGATTCTCTACAAGACGTGTCAAACTCATCAGCTACGACATGAGCTCCTGCTCTTATCCCAAAACCCACTGTACTTGGCCAATAAAGACTTATCAATATCAACTGACAGCAACACCATCTTTCTCTTTGCTCAGCCAAATCATTCTGTAGTCATTTTTGAAGGCCCTCTTATTTACTTTGCAGGAAATGCTTTGGTTTTACTTTCAAAGTATATATAGATGCTGACTTCTTCTGTCCCTTCCACATAGTTATCCTGGCTTGAGCCATCATCACCTCTTATCTGGATGACCCAATGGCCTTCCTGTTCCTGTCTTTGCCCTGGTACAGTCTATTCATACCATACCAGTCAAACAGATCCTTTTAACATGTGAGTCAGGTCATGTCACTCATCTGCTAAAAATCCTCCAACAGCTTTCTGGTTTACTGAGCATGAAAGTTCCCAATATGGCTAATGAGGTCCTATGGAAGTATCCCTCCCAGTGATCTCTCCAACCTCTCCTACCACTATCTACCTTACTCTCTTTTGAGCACCAAACTCTTTACTCTTCCCCAAATACATTTGGCATTCTTCTATCTTGGGATATTTTCCCTAGCTTTTTCTTGGTCAGGATTAGTCTCCGCCAGACACTTGGCTGACTTCTACACCTCTATCAAGTCTTTGGTGGTGCATCAGATTCTCAATGAGGTCTACCCTGACCACCCCACTTTACACTGCAACCACCTCACTACCTCCATATCACTGATCAACCTTTAATGATCTATATAATTTTCTTATATGCTATAATCTACATTCAATATACTGACAGCTCAACAAGGGATGCAACTTTGTCCTATCCACTAATGTGCCCCAAGTTCTCCTAGCAGGTAAGGCCTATAGAAGATACTCAAGAAGGCTAGGGATGTGACTCAGTGGTACATTGCTTGCCTGGCATGTGCAAGGCCTTGGTTTTGATCCACCAAACAAAAAAAGTACTCAAACATTTTCAATGTGAATGAACAAATAATGTATGTTCAAGTCATTACCGAATCCTAATCCTAATGATTCTACCTTGGCACATTTCTGGTGTCAACTCCTTGTGCTTTGTACCTGTTCCTATCCTAATGATACTTTATTGTTTCACAACTGAGCTTTTGAAACTTATTGACCATGCACTCATCACTTGCTACCCATGTGGCTGGCTTGCTCATAGTTGACCAATACCCTGTCTGGCACTGTTCACACATCACTCCCGTGTCCAAGGTATAAATGCGTGCCCTCTTTAGGAGCTCTTGGATCCCATTCTACTGTTTACCTTGACTGTTGCTCTTCACTCCTCTTCTTACCACAAGCCTCTCCTTTCCCTTCCCTGGCTTCTGACCTTGCCTGCAAACTATAAACTCCATCCTTTTGCTTACAATGCATATTCTCACCCTGATTTTCACCAAACTGTCCTCCCCTCTCCATCCTAGTTCATTTCCCATTGCCCTTAAAAAGGTTTTCTTGCCCCTCCAATCCACAAGGATCTCTCCATTCCAAACATTCACAGCACTCACAGTACAGACCCTGCTATGGTTTGAATGGGTTCTTCCAAAGTGCATGTATTGGGAACCTAGTCTCCACTACAACAGTGCTGAGGGTGCTACACTGAAGAGAAGAATTAATGTTATTATTGGAGTGGATTTGTAGTAAAAGGGACTTTGGCCTTTTGTTGTGCTTTTCCATTTTCTTTCTTACCATGCCTTCTGCCATGGTATGATGCAGCAGAAGGTCCTCACCAGATGTGGCTCCTTGAGCTTGGGCTTCCCAACCTCCAGAACCATGAGCCAAATAAATGTCTACTGTTTATAAATTAACCAGTCTGTGGTATTCTGTTAAAACAGCACAAAATAGAGGAAGACCCTCCATTCAACTGATACTAAATACTTTAAGCTTCATAGCACCTCTTAAGAGTACAATTTTTACTACCCTTTTATGTAACTCAGAAATTATGAAATTTCTGTGGATAATAACTTGAGCAAAAGGAAATATTTAATTTTTAATTGTGAGACTAGTTGACATGTCTTTTTTCTCCAATTATATTACAGGCTCCTGGAAAGTGGGAACAATGTCTTAAGCTTCCTTAATGTTTCCCATGGACTCAAGCAGTGCTAGGCACACAGCAGATAGACAGTAAGGGCTGGAGGGGAGGTTGAATGATTTGGAATCCATGTAGGGAAGAAGTCACAAATACTAAGTGGCTCTGTTGAAGGCACAGTGACCAGAGGAGGAAAAATATCAGTGAAATAAACCAAGGTTAAAAACTAAAAGTATTAAGGGGGTAACTTTCTAGTTAGTTACCCTTCACTAGCTGTCATTAATGTGATTGATAATTTAAAAATATGTAGACTAACTGATTTCAGTTTTTATAATCATGCTTTCTGCAGATATTCTTTTCTACTTTAAAGAGGTATGTGTGGCAGAGGAAATCATAAATCTGACCCATTTTCTTCTCTCCCTCCCTCTATCCCTTCCTCCCTCCCCTTCCCTCCCTTCTTCCCTTCCTTCTGTCCTTTTTCAGTAATGGGGGATTGAACTCAGGGCCTCACTACTTGCTAGGCCACAGTCTAACCTATTTTTCTATTACAGTGGAATTCTCCAAAGTCAAAGCATATTCAAAGCCCCTAGACCACAGATGTCCCTGACTTAGAATGGTTGGACTTAATGATTTTTTGACTTTCTGATGGTGTGAAAGCATACCAACACAACCATTCTATGTTTTACTTTCAGTACAGTATTCAGTTACATAAGATATTCAACTTTCTTTCTTTTTTTTGGCAGTACCAGAGTTTGAACTCAGGGCCTCACGCTTGCTAGGCAGTCTCTACCACTTGAGCCACTCCTCCAACCTTTTTTGAGGGCGGCATTTTCAAGATAGGGCCTCACAAACATTTTCTTGGGCTGGCTTCAAACCAAGATACTCCTGATTTCTGCCTCCCAAGTAGCTAGGATTACAGATGTGAACCACTAGTGCTCAGCTCAACTTTCTTATAAAATAGCCTTTTTGTTAGAGGATTTTTGCCCAAATGTAGGGTAATGTCAGTGCTCTGAACATCTTTAAGGTCAGCAAGGCTAAGCTAGGTTAGATGTATCAAATGCAGTTTTGAGCTATGATATTTTCAACTTACAATGGCTTTAGCAGGACATCACCCCATCATAAGTTGAGGAACAT